TATAAAATCTAGTTTGTAATTCAATTTGAATTACAAAATATATCTTATATTAAGGATTGGAGCTTGTGATGAATCTTCTCCCTTTTATTCTCCTTCCAAACAAATTAAAGTCATTTTTTAAAAATAATATTTTATGTGACACATAAAACTCGAGATCAAATTTATTAATTAATATTGCTCACCCTTTTCTAAGAAAGTCTTTTGTTTCATTCAAACCTATTTATATTAACTATTGCTTCAATAGGATGCCATTCATGCGATCCCATGGTGAGGTTTCTTTTTAAATTTCTAGTCAGTTCAATTTCGTACGACGAGGAAGTATAAAAACGTGTACATAAGAGTAACTTGTACTAGACAAAAGAACAATATGTGAAACCAAAATAAAAATGTTTCAATAAAATTTCAAAGAAGACAATTTCATTTATTTTATTATTTTATTTTTATAATGAATTTTATTGTTATTTTAACATAATTAATATATATGATCTCGGAAAATCGAGGGAAAATTGTCAATGCTTTAAATTTATACATACAAAATATCCATGCCCTAATTTAAGCCCATATTACCAAAAAAAAAAATAGCAGACCTCTTTTTTCAATTTTTTTAATATTAAAACATGACTGTGTGTAATTGAAAAATATGACGTAATGGATATAAGAAATTTGATCTAAGTATATTTTTACATTAACAATATTCATTTTCAGTTTACATTTTTGCATATACTCCCTCCAGTTTGGTCCAGCTTCGTGGTTGTAGTCAATGTTTTGAAAGCTAGACTAAACATTGAGTCAGTAGAGACAGTGGGTCATGATTCATACGTTGACCACGGTTGAACACTAGTTGGGTTGGTTATAATTAAATATATTAATATGTTAATTATATATGGTATAATACTGTTGACAACATAAAAGTTTTAAGGTATTTATCATTAAATTTTATTGTTATATTTTTAGAAAAACTAACTTTTATTCATTTTATTATATTACTTATTTTATCATTGATGAGTTGAAAAATATGGTAATTATATTATTATCAATGAGTCCATGTGAAAAGAAGGAGATTGGTGAAAATGTGTGGCAGTGGATAAAGATTTGAGGAATTGAAAAGGTTGAGTTTTCACTAACATAGTGAACAGTAGTATTAAGGATTTTATTCGAGATTAAGGAGTAAGGGAGACTAGGAGAGATGAAGACCACATGAGGCTGATACATACTTCTCTTCTTATTAGTGATTTTCATCTTTCACTCTCATAGTGTCTTATTTCTGCATTACAAAGAGGCTGAGATTGAAGAGTTGACGGTGAATTGATATTAGATTTTTCCTCTTATTTTTCCTGATTTCATTTTCCATCTCTATTTCCTTTTTTGTTTCTGGCCAGCTGGCTCTCTTCAAACCATCCCGGTTCCCTGTTTTCTCTACCAGTTTCTGGCCTAAATACAGGCTGGAAACAGCTTACTCCGGACAAACCTTTGAAGCGGCTCAATAGTGTGAAATGGCCCGCCATTATTGCCGGTTGACAGTCTGACCATCCAGTCCGGTCCAGTCTAGTCTCAACAACATTGGTTGTAATGATTCTTGTATACTTAAATTGTAAACCAAAAGCCTAAAGTTAATTAAACAAATTATTACTCTTTACAATAAAAAGCCTATAATACCGCACGCATGCTCTTCATTCTTCTTAATGTTCAGCGATAACTTATTATAGTTCAGACATATTTTATTTTCAATTAAGGGTCTAAAAGGAAGGTTACAATTCGTAGACCGTAGGGTTCACTTTCACTTTGTCAAAAAACATTTAGTTATAATACTTAACCGTACCATGTTTAATTGTCTAAAGTGCCTCGCCAATTTTTGTATTATGATGAATTGAATTTGACTCTTTTGGAACTACTGCCTATGACTTGGCCGGCCGACGTGATATTGTTATTGTATCCCAACGAAGATTTGTTTCCTTAAACAATAATGCCCTCGAATATTTTAACTAGACCTCTTTTCTTAATCCAAAAAATAAAAATAAAAAAGCATTTGTGTGTAATGTTTCCAACTAAGCATAGCCAAGTGTCAATCATCAACAAATGATGGGATACATTGGCCATAGTGAAAAAGTGTTGCCCAAATTTGTTAACATTATCTTTTATTCCTATGATTCCAACAATGGAAAATGACACCTTTTATATAGTTACTCTTTGTAAATTATTGGTCATTCGTACCCCTTTTCCCTTGTTTAATTAGCATACAAGTAACTTGGTCTTGAATCCTCCATGCTATTTCCTTTTTTTAATTATTTTTTTCGGCTTTCGGCCTAAGCTTCTTGTAATTTATCGTTCGTTCATACTAGTATTTCGATATATAAATGATCTCCGTTTCTAATACATATATTTTATGTGCTCCCAGTAAAACTATTGAAGTTTAATTCAAACTCTTTTTTTTTTTTATTATAAAAAGTAATTTTGGATGTGTTGGGTCTCATATGCTCATCAAGATTAGAATGTGCCTCCATGCTCAGAGAGCGTTTATAGAGGTACCCACAAATTGCCTACCAACAAGATCCTTATATCGGGAGTGGAATTCAAACTCATAATCTTATGAGTTATGAGCCGACTCCTTACTAACTAGACCAATTGTTGTTGGCAGTTTGTTATATTAGTGCTCACGTTATTTGACATATTTTCCTTTATTTTTGAGCGTGTAGATTGAGTTATTCTCTGCCTACAAATAAATGAATTATTATCTAAATAAAAATGATGATTGAAATTGATTAAAAGTGTGTAAAAAAATATATTTTATTTTGAAAAATGCTTTCATTTGCAGAGAGTGTGAGTGAAACAAAGAATATAAGTAGGAAAAAAAGTGAGAGAAAGAGAGTTGATTAGTGGCATACATTGAATTGATATCGGAAAAAAGAGGAGAGACGTGCGATAGATTTGGATAGGAGCAAAATATTTTATTTTATTTTTTCAATTCAAGACAGATTATTGGCCGCTCTTCTTTGGTTCCATTAAAATGATTAAAAATGACTAGATTTGGGGTTTTACAATGATGCCTTGTCAGTTTGTTGTTTGAGGATTATTGTTCTAGGTTTTTTTTTTCCTTTTTATTAATGGTACATTTGTTTACTTGATTTTGCGCTCTAAGTTGTCACTGATTATAGAATAATTAAGCTGGTTTCCTAATTGTATATCAAATAGGTAATGCAGATGTTCGTGATTTTGTTTTTATCATATTGTTAGGTCTTGTAAGTTATAGCATTTTGGAATTCTTTTTAGACTTCTTTTCACAACTAGGGTTTTCTTTCTTTCTCTGTACTAAAGAAAAAAGAGGTTAACATGAATAATAACTTAATTATGTTATCACTATATTCTTCACTTTACCTTTCTCACGCATACGCGTGCACATGTATAGGCCTAACAATTTAACAAACCAATCATAACTACTACCCCCTCCGATTCAATTTTACAATTTTTTAAAATCACCCTTAATCAACTAAAAGCAATTATTGATGCTAAGACTAAGAGAGAGAGTACTAGGGCCATTTTATAAATAGGTTATAAATACTTAATTAAATTTTGTCAAATGTCTTGTAAATATATTCAGGATCAATAATGAGTATGGTTTTATACATAGAACCGGGGGGAATTTTATCTTATACAATATCAAACTAACTATTTCCAAAAATAAATTTTTTTCTTGAGTCTTATCATAAAAAATAATCTTTACGGTAAACCAAATGGAGCTTGTATTTAAGTTGGGAACCCCAATTCAAAGTTAACTGTTTAGTCCGCATATATAAAAGGGATGAGTCATGATGTTTTCGAATCATTTATACTTGAATTGAAAGATTTAATAATTTAATTTTTATCTTTTAAAATGAAAAGTCAGAAGAATGTTTCCATGATCTAAATTCTGTCTACTTTTAAACAAAAGTAGTAAAATCCGAAAGACGCAATCCGATATGGATGATCTAGATGGAGAATGAGCAGTATTCATCAAACCTTGGAGAAAGGAGATGTACATACATCAGAAATTCATGTGGTAAAATATTTTTTATAAAAAGGGACGGAAGAAATAGTATTGTGGACAATCTATGTGTCTATATTTCGATTTTTTAATACTCAACAGCTCATTTAATAAGGGCATATTAGAAAAACCGAAAGAAATTTTAACATATTAATTACATTTCTTAATTAATCCATATGTGAGAACCTTAAAGCAATATATAATTTTTTGTGACAACAAAACATTATGTTAAGCAAAAAAGAATTGGAGAAAGTATATATATCACTTTCATTTGTCATCCTGAAAAATCTAATAAAAACTAAGAAATTTTTGGGTATCATGAAGAATATCAGTTGTGCAAATCAAATTAACTATGGCTAGCTAATGTGAAGTTTAAAATAAGACCATATATTTAAGACCCACTTGGCCACTTGTAACTTCAACTCGTTATGAACAAAAAAGAGAAAATCTTAGCATATGTAAGTAATCGTTAGCATGGTGCAATCTGAGTTGGACGCACGTAGACTTAGAATTTCGATGTACTCAGAAATCAATGTGAAAAGATATTGTTGCTGGCGATTAATTAATTAAATAATAATGAGCTTGAATTTTCAATTGCTTTACAGTACGAGGATATCTGATCAATGTGATTTGCTGTTCAGAGGACATTTGCTGCCCTAGCTGGAAAAGATCTTTGGATTTGCTTCCTTTTTTCTGAGATCCTAAGAAAGAGAGGAATAGCCATTACTTGTTCTTCTTGCTTGCTTAAACTTTCCTTTACGCTTCAACTGTTCAAAAGCAATTTTATACTTTTATTTTATAGTGCACTCTTAAGCATTATTATTAATAATTTTTTCGGTTGTCCTTTGACACTCGCAGCTTCAACGACGAGGATCTTAACTTTTCATCAGTTGTCCAAAATAAAACGAATATTCTTGTCCTTGCATTTCACTTATAGATGTCTTTGTGTCTGTTTATCATATATCCGATTATTAAGCATTTTTCACATGGCAAGATCAGAAACAGAATTCTTGAATATATATACCTTGTGTTGTAACTCTTTAATCTCATCTGTCAAAATTTGATCCTGCAGACCAATTAATGATCAAGCTCAGGTTATCGTATTTGCCACATGTATTAAATTATATTGAATGTGGATATAAATTGAAATGATCTATCGTACCTTCTTGGTCTGAACATTTTTCAAACTCATCTCCAGTTGATTTTCCAAACTTTTCAATTCGTCAATTTCCAAACCAGAAAGTTGTTCACCCATGAATTGCCTATACATTTCCCAAAAGAAATAAGTTACTTCTGGTTCACTAAATTGTTCCATATACTCTTGAGGGAAAAAAGGAGAACATAAAATTTTCCATGTTGAGATCAATATCTTGTACCTGTGCAATTCCTGCAAGTGTTGCAGCTGTTGTCTCAAGACCGTTGCTTCTCTCTGCCAAAACTAACAAGTGCAACAACAGATATAACTATTAAATTGAATCAAGAGCGATGCAATTGTAAGCAGGTACGAGTTCCAACTAATGATACAAGTATGAAGACCCCTTTCGGTCCAAATATCTTTATAACATTGTACAATTACTTGTCAAAAGCATTACATTCTTTTCCAGTCTAAATTTAGGGAACTTCATTAATGACTCCCTTTAATGACTTCATTACGGGTGTTTTTGAAAACAAAAGAACAAATTGTAGAATATTTAAAGCATTGAACCAACAAAAATAAATTTTCTTTTGTACCAGGAAAAGTGGTTATTTGTTTCTTATATTTGGCGATGGAGGGAGTAGTTGATAGTGGCATTTAGTGTAACTAATAAAGGTAATATTGAAAAAAATAAAAATATACTTTTAGTTTTTTAACTTCTTACACGATTTTAGTTTGGTCTCATAATTTTAAAAACTATTTTTTCAGTCATCTAACCCTAAAATCATTAGTGTCAAATGCAACACCTAACTTTCTATATACCAGTAGGATCCACTTAACAACTGTGGATCACTAGACGCCAGTGTTCTATTATAGAAAATGACAAATTTTTTTTATATATATAAATACTGACGAGTGATTCACACACTTGAACCCTACTTCTAAAGCACGTATGACAAGCACACAGATTTAAAATAATACTACTATTATATAAGTTACTACCCTGGTCATTCAGGACAATGACCCTTACCTGAGCACTGAAAGTACACACTCCCTTAAAGAAGGATACAAAATAGCATAATTACTAGTAAGTGTGGGTTACTTGCTCTTAAACATCTAATAAGTCAGATAATTAAATATCAAAATAATTATTCTATAGGTACAAAAGCAGCAGACATTCCTGCTCTTCATACAAGCCCACCTTCAGCACTTATGACCTCCTTACTCTTGGAATTGCTTGCTCTAGCTGTATAATATAGGAAGGGAGGGTGAGATTCGAACGAATCCCTGTAGTAGTAATTTCCATCAAACAAATGTGCAGATTACATAAAGCATGCAAAACAAGCCAAAGTGGAACATAACCTTGCAAGTTAATGCAATTAAGCATTTATGCGCAATGACAGATAGACAAGCTGAATAAATAATGCGCAAATAATTAGCAATCACTGCCCCATGTCTATCAGCTACACGTGATCACGGCTAAATAATCCATGCAAGGAATTAAGGATTATATGTTCTCATGCTTTAAACAGCAATATGGCACAAACAAACATGCAGCAATCATACACAAGTGTAAGGTAGGAAAGAACTACTACCTGAACCTTCTGCTTCAAAATCAAACCTTACTTGTTTTCTCTTAGCTTCTTCAGCAGGCTTTTGCAGATATCAAAACCTATTATTTTAGTAAGGGTAGGTTAATGCTTGATCCAACTAAAATTCATAAATTAGAAATCTCTCTTTAAATCCCAATCCTTTTTCAATCTCTACCCTTACTTAATAGTTGGTCATCCTGGACAATTTTTCTTATTTAATACATTTACTGTGGAGAGTTTCTCTCTTTATCTCAGCCCAAATAGTTACTTTTAGTAACTGATCATCTTGGTAAAAAAATATATTATATAGACACACAAGTCTTCTATCTTTAAAATATTTTCTATTAACACTTCATATTAAATCTCAAAATTATTCTTGTCACAGCACTTTGATAAATTTCTAACCATATTCCAAAACAACTATATATAACAACTCTATTAGCCTTTAATTACTCTTATCCCCTTGCCTTACAAGCTTACTAATCGAAAGTGTGTACACATACACAAATATATACTTTATAGCACTTCCCATGCCAAACACCTAACACTTAGGCGCCTATGCTAGAGTATAAATTATTATTTTTGTACTTCTAACTTGCTTCTAAAATTGTCTTGGCTTAATTAACTTCATACTGTAATTTTCAAATCCATACAATTCTTCACTTTAAGTCTAAAAGAGAAATTCCAGATTGGATGCCAATAGCTAAATCATTCCACTCAACATTCTATAGGTTCTTTTATCAATAAAATCCAATGATTTCTCAACACTTTGTAACAAAGTATCCCTTGGTTCAAAGTTTCACATTTTAGAGTTCTAATCAATTTTCCTCTTAAAAATTCAAAAGTCCCCAAGCTTCAACCATTTCTATTCACCATTCGATCATATAACAAATTAACTTACATAATCATCACTTATCATTCAAAACCTTAAGAACAAACCATACATGGTTCTCCTCCTAGTAAATTTTGAGTATCAAGGTTCTAAAACCACACTCTTATTTATTTATTTATTTATTTAGACAGCATTTCCACATCAACTCTAGGCTTCCAAAGTCAATTCTTCAATGTTTAAAACTTCCCATTATATCTATTCTATTATAGCTAATCTATTTCCTTACTTCTCCATATCTTAAATTCATGGAAATCACTTAACATTGTATTAATTCATTTCTAACTTCACACATCTACCCATCTAATTCCTTCAAACTTTAACATTCCTCCTCAATAACCTTTCCTTCCATTATAATCCCACGGCCCTTATATATAAAATATAACCAGTGTAAATTCCCACGTAAGTCATATATTACTATATATACTGAGACTATATACATATATATCAGTTCGTCTTCTCTCAAACCGGTAAACCCGACGCCATATAACATCCAACAACCAAAAAGAAAAACAGATATCATTACCTCAAGTTATTAGCGCCCTGTACAGCCATGTTAATATATACCTATATATATTTATATATTTACCTACCAACACATTTAATCACCTATACCGTCTTTCCATATTCATCTAGAGTTCCAACGCTAAAAATCATCAAAACAGGGGCTTGGGTTCTGCCAATCGAACACACAACCAGCAAGCACACATGCAACCGCATATATCAGCCACGTTTCCTCATACAAATAAAAACAACCAACTCCTACACCAGTTAAGCAAGAATACCGAAACTCAACTTGCATGATTGACCATCCCTGTTCGGTGAACTTAAAACAGAGTAAGAATCAACATGCAACCAGAAAATGTATATATATATATATATACACACACATCCATCACTTCAATTCCACAGAACCCAACGCCAACCCTGAACCATTTAACTCAGTTTCATCGGCCAACAAGCATTAAGCTATCATCATCGTCAAGTTCCAATTTTAACCGAAAATTTCTCTCACTGAAACTTAAGCTTCTTTCATCATTAACGCTCCAACCAGTCACCAACCCAAGTAAACAAAGATGGGAGGAGGTTTAGGAGACTCACCTTACTCAGAATCCAATATTGCATGTAGCAAAACAGCCTCCGATAGCTCTTCCGGTTCCACTGAATCACTATTTCTCCCGTGTTCTCCCTCTCTCGCTCTCCGTCCTCACTCTCGGTCTGTCTCTGTTTGTCTCGTCACTCTCTCTTTTCTTTGGACACCGACTGAGTGAAATGCAACGCGTGGTGATCAGCTGATGTATAGAGGAGTGAATCAGAACGCGTGGATAACCAGCTGTGTAATGGAGAAAGGATTCAGATGTCTTGAGGAGAAGGCAGCACGTGTGTTACCACATTTCTGGACCATTTTTCCCTCCAAAATAATTATTTCTCCAATCCTATCCCTTCTCCTATTTTTCTGAAATATAAGATATATCCAGAAATTAAACCAAAATATCATAAGTGGATTTTTCTTATCCATTAGCTTCTTTGAACCATAAAATAATTTCCCTAAAATTTTCTAGTTAATTAGAAACCTCTAAGTATTTTCTAAGAAAATAACCCATTTTGCTATGAAAATAGCTTTAAAATCATTTAAGCCACTTTTTGGGGAATGAACTTTTCCAAAATATTTCTAAACCTTGAAAATCAATATTCCATAATTTTTCCCAATTGTGCTTGAGCTATTAAATAATTTTAATAAATTTTTCTCTTTTCTACTCATCCTAAATCATAAAATTCGGGGTGTTACATCAAATGATAATTTTTTCTGTCATATATGTCATTATTTAAACAATTGAAAAATTAAAGGACCAAAATGAAATGGGCACTTTTTCCTTTTGAGAACTAATTAAGGTTTTATAACAAATCTAATGCTTTAACTAATCTTTAAACTACTTTTCTTATTGAGAAGCATGTATGAACGAAGTAACTTGTATGCATTAAAGGACCATAAAATCATTCTAGAGTGTAACTTATAATAATGCTCCCTCAGTTTCTGTTAGTAGGAAATTTTGCAGGGAGATTTGTTTCTATTTATAAGACAAATTACAAAATTTAAGACGTATGTAATATTTCTTTTGTTAATATACCCCTACTGGATGTATGAAATGACTTGTCACAAATGTTACCTTCCTCAAAAAATAAAGTGAGCACTAAATAAGGGGAGAACTGGGGGAAAAAAAAAGGTAACTAAGTTTACATGAATTAGGTGAGTCGATTCAAAGGGTGTAGTAGTCTGTGTTTTGGGTTGTGTACTGTTAAAAAAATGTTAGCATATATATGATTGTTCTCAATCTATGTTTTAAAGACCTTATCCAAATACCGCCTCATCCTAAGTATCTAACTGCTTAACCAGCACTAAGAAAATGTAGTTAAATCATTGCTTTTGTCTAAAGAAGAGTTGAACTTTCTAATTTACTCTTATTAGATGCATACGCTAAAAAGGTTTGGGTAAAGATTAATTAGTTGTGTCAAATCCCAAAAATTTTTATCTAGCGATAAAGGATCAAAAATTGGGATGAGGCTCAATGTAGGAACTAGACAGGGAGATGAAACAACTTTTGATATGAAACCCCAAAAAGGTCCGGACTGGTATTTTCATAATCATCGGTCTAGGAAGGGCAAAACAGGAAAATTTGAGAAAAATTCCAGAAAATCCCTAAAAAATGGAAAAAATGTAGAGTAGAGGTTTTGGAAACTTGATTGAGGCCTGAAAGATGGAATTTTGGTGAAAATGATTTATTACAGAATTTTCCGTAAACAGAGGTTTTACGGGAAAATAT